TATAAAATAATATTTCCAATCATTTCCTTGAATCTGTTGAGGTGACGATTGAAAAAATTGATTACATCACATTATTATTTGAGGTCAAATATTAATATGATTGTTTATATATGAATGGCGACAATTGTAGAATATTTATTGTCATTTCTAGAAAAAATTATATTCGAAGCTTAGTTAGAATTAGTTTTATGAAGTTAAAAAGGATGTTGGAATGAATGTTTTTGTCGTTTTATTAAGTTTGTTATTACTTGTAATTTAGATACATTTGAGGCACTTACTTGAATATTTTCTGGCTGAAACTTTCGACGAAATTGTCTGTAAAATGTAGACTAATGACAAACGGCAAAATAGGAGCAACCTGCCGTCTGGCTTGACCGTCTTCACTGTGCTGGTCCTATCACGCAGCGCTCTAGCGGACGAAGCACAGTGGGCCTGTGTAGACAGGTCTGAAAAGGCCAGAGAGTGCGCATGGAGTATCACACAGAATTATGAAATAACAATACATTCAAAATGTATTTTTTCACATTGATTATATCAAATTTCAACTGTGACATTGGCGCTTTCTTAATTCAAATTAATTATGAAGTTTTAGACATTTTAAACTGTTCAATATGCCGTCATTTTTTACAATGGCTAGTGGACACAGCTGGATAGCTGGACAATAATGTTCGCAAAATTGTTACTTGGTACCCAAGACACAAAATATTACTTCAATTTTAAGTGTAATTTCATTTCCGATTAAAATGTCAAATAAAAGTTTTTTTTTATTGAGCACTTTGTTTGTAATGTTTTTTCTTATAAAACTCACTGTCATTTTCTTATGCAAAACTCCAAGTTGGATGGAAAAAGGATAAATAATCATGTTTTGCCACCCCCGCAGATGTTTTTCTTCCCTTGCACGCTATTTAACAAATTTCGGCCCAAATTCAACTACACCAACTTAAACCAATAATCAACTGATTAGTTAAATTACCATACAAAACCATTTTACTACTTTACAAAACCATCACCTCCCTATTTTTATATGCCAGCCCTGTATGGATCAATGCTGACAAATCGAATACCAACAAACTTCAAGAATCCCAAAATTAGTTCCTCCACACAATGACGAACACTCCTTGGTTTATCTCCAATCCACAACTTCACAAAGAATTTCAGTTAATACCCTTAACCGAGAATTTAATTTTTTTTATCGACCCACTTCTTCCAAAATATCCTAAACATAATCAATTTAAACTTTCTACGGCGTTTCCAAAATCCAACTCACAAAATCCATATAGAATAAATTCCCGTTCCACGCTTTCCTGAACAAATTCTCAGATCTTGATCCAAAGTAGTTACCATGTAAAAGATACCTCTCCATCCTATTAGTAAGATTATTGAAAGTAAATGTTAAAAATATTTAAAAAATCAAGCAATTTAATCAAATGTAGTGTTTCTATACACTGGCCTTTGTGTTGAACAATTCCAAGGAAAATAAATCCATATATTCAAAATATTTCAGCCCACTGTGAGCCGTGAGGGCGGCGGCGGCGTGAGGGGCGGGGCGCCTTCCGGAGAGCGCAATTAACAAAAGAGCGGCGGGCAGCGCACGGCGGCCGCGCCGACTGACAGGATGATTAACACCAACTCTTTCACTGCCCGACGGATCTCCGTCTTCATTTTTCAAGGGCTAAGTGCGGCGTATTAATAACGATGCGGAGACCGACTGTCGTTAGGCATTGGAAGGGTGGGGTGGGGTGGGATGGGGCGGGGCGAGGCGAACGCACCGGAAGAAAACCCCGGAGGTTACCATTGCCTCCTCTTCTGAATTCTTCCTCCAGACGCAAGTGTATGAAGCAATGGTGGACACATCCAAATACAGAGGCTCAACTGAAAACGATGTAGTTCGGCAGTCTAGTCCCAATATCGCCTCTTCCGTGGTACGTGAGTGTCAGTTTCTGCGATTCAGTTTTGTCACTCCTCAAAAGAAATTAAGCATCGAGCAGTTCTAACCGATGTGCTGCATGAACTACCTGAACTTATGCCAACATTCTTAAAAAGTATATTTTAAGCGATTAGGAGTAAACATTTGTTGCTATTTGTCTATTGTAAATACTTACTTAAAAATAGTGTATTTAGCCTTCAAATTTTAATGCAGCTCTTTCCAAACTCTCCTTTGAAGTTTCTTCCAAGTTCTGGTAGTTGGTCATCCCAGCTATAAAGCTCTAGTCTGTCTGCAAGAATTACTATAGCGGTAGCCATTGAAATTGTTGTTTGTGGGCCTGTTCTGACGTGTTTCCAGTTGGTACACCGAAAAGCCCCGAAAATAGTTGTTTAAAATGCGTTGTATTAATAACTGTTATATTCCAGTAGTCATTACTACTACTAATAGTTCATAATGAAACGATTATGTAATGATAGGTATTAGCACGCAAGTATGAAGTATGATTGTTTTTCTACAACTTATGATAACTTCATAAGTTAAACTTATAACTTCCGACTTTTCTTGTACTTTTGGTAGTCATTCCATGTCTCATTGGCTTCCGCACAACATCTTAGTATTTTCCGGTTTACCGTTACGAGCCTGTGGGTCGTCTCAATAGAACGAAATTAATTTACTAAAATGATTTTCAACGATTAACTACCTCTCAATAATTGGTTTGTAATCTTATCTGTGATAGCTTTAACATCTGTACTCAAATCAATCACGTTCAATCATAGTATCATCACCATCATTATGTCACAACTAGCAATATTCTAATAATATAATTTTATATTGGGTGTAGAAAAAGTATATTAAATCAAGTTAGTTAACATTGACGATTTTCCTAAATCACTTGCCTTCCATTCCAGATGTCTACATTCTTCACTTTCTCTCTTACAGACTTCGCAGCCATTATTAGCCAATACCTCTTATGTATGCCATGCAATTCACACATCGGAGCCCTGCAGAGACAATGTATCTTGAGCCCTATTTTCCTTGTTTTCTCCTTTACCCTGTATTACATCATTACTGTTGTACCAGGACAATCCATATATTTTATTTTACTAAGTCACTATTGAGTTCCTTGAGATATTGTTTATTGAAATTTTTTTTTTCTATTCTTCCTGAACGATTGTTCTTCAGCATCAATTTTTTTATTTCCACTTATTTGCTTTTACTTTCACTTGTGAAATCGTGAATTATCAAAATGACCACTGGAATTCATTTATTCTTCTTTATGTTCTTCGACGATTCTTCACAATCTTTATAATTTTCTTCCTCAAAATACATATTTTGAATTCTTTCTAATCCTTTTATATTATTTCCATTTCTTTGACAGTTCACACTTCACACGCGTGATCGATTATTCCAATTAGATGAACGCTTTTTGAACATACTTTTTACTTAACGTCATTAGGTATTTTGGCCTAGCTTATACCTAGTGTCAAAAATCTGACACGCTTCCTTTGTCAAAAAACACGCGCATGCGAACTGTGGTTTCTGGAATCCTAGAAGCGACACTGCGTTTGTGGGCGTACACTAAAACTCCAGAATCGGAATATTAACAAATGATTTATCATTGTATTTCTATTTTTAAGATTCGTCCCTTGCAGGAGAAAAATTACATAGTTCCAAGTTCTGTTAATTAAAAATCAAAGATATTAGACTTTTCCAAAAATAAAGATATTACGAACAATATCTCTACTGCATATTAATCACTTTTGATTCATTAATGTTGGGGGAAGACTGCATTTCGATACCTACAACAAGACAAACGAAATAGAGTTAGTTTCATAAAAATGGATAACATTTGAAAATCGGGTACTCTTATTATTTATATTTACTCAATTCCTGCAAGAAATATCAGAAAGTTTTTCTAGGCCTGTAACTCTTATCATTCGGACACTCAGTTCATTTGGACACTGCTACTGATCGATTGATTCGAATTGTCTTTATTACTGATCTCTGTTACCTAAACAGAAAAATACCCTATACGCACTATTCATTGCTGTCCTCAAAATGATTGATTCCAAATTAAACAAAGTTTAAAAGACTAACTCAAGAGTTAAAGAGTTGGCATTTTATTTTAATTTGCCATAAGGGCAACAGTATGTTTCGAATCACTATAGACCTGGAGTATTCACATCAGCAATATATTCTAATTTAGACCTCGCAGTTTCAAATAAGAAATTACTTTTTACCTTGTATGTAATATAGCTGCAATCTAATACGTTATAATAAGGCATAATAAGGGCACTAGTGAAATCATTTATTTTCCCACGAGTAAATTGTAGGCCGTCTTTCAAATTTCCCTTCCAATGTGACTCAAGTGTCGCAGCAACCTTAGAAAGATCATTTGCCTTCTTAAATCGTTGTTAGAATGTTTTATCAGAGCTGGACCTTGACGAGATCTCGCACCGAAGAGATCTACTTTCGAGGTTAACGTGTCAATGGCAGTGGAAGGCAAGTGGAAGGTGTGAATGATGCCTGACTCAGTTCACAATCGAATTGAACGAAGGATATTTTATTAATATAATAATAAATAAACCTATCAGCTATTATCCATTTAAAATCAAACTTTTTTTTATTTAGGTTTAGCAAAAATTATTTCATTCATCGAGTAAACGTTGCTGCGAGTATTGCGGCAAAGAAAAAAAAAGAATAGGTTGGATAACCAACTTACTTTGGGTGTTATTACAAAATCCTTCAGAGAAAGTGATATACTGCATCATAACAAGAAGAAATAAACCATCACTCTCGACAGGTCATTGCCCTATGGAGAATTTTACGCGGACCTTTGTAAAGGTACAAGGTTTTTTGCCCATCTTTTTGTGACTTCAACGGTTCTCGTATAGTCAGTATTATTATGGCTTTGCATATAATGACTAGCCTAAGGTTTCAAAAATAAAGCAACCAGATGCTAATGTGAAAAGCTACCACAATCACGTACAAGGTACTCTTTCTTCAATTTTTCGTAGACTTTTTGTGGTATTGTCCGAAGGAAATGGGAGTGTGGGGTGGGTAAACCACCTTGAGAGTCGTGTCTCAAGGTCGTTCGAACACCGTAACGCGTTTTTCATACCCCCAGGTGTACAGGAACATCCATTGTTTCGTCGCAGCGTCGCCGGAGAAGTACTAACGCCTCTCGTGGGGCAGAAAATATCAAGAAGAACGAGGTCGGCCTGTGTGGCTCATGAAGTTCACCGAATCAATTTCCCACGCTTCAGCGATCCCAGCGCTTCCGTGGCCGACAGCTGCATTCCCTGGATTTTGTAATGAGGTAAAGTCAGGAAACATGTCGGTTGTGATTTCTTCGATTTCCTTCGCATTAAGAGATCGAAAATGTTTGTCATTTTGTTATTTGAAACGACTAGGACCTGTTTTACGAAACTTTTCTGTAAGTAGAATGAGTGCTATTAAATGGCGCCAATAAATATTACAATGTAAGAAAAAAAACTGAAACATAAAATGGCCCTAACCTATAAGGGAGGTCGAGAACTGTCTCATTGGTGTAATGAGGCCAACTCCTTGTGTAATTTATTAAAAGCAATGGAGTTATATGCCTCTCCTGGGAAAATTGCATGACAGAAATGTACTAGAATGTGGGATTCAGTGAAATCACTTGTTAAGTGCAGCATGAAAACGTTCTCCAACCAAGAAAGAGAGGTGAAGTATATTGAATGTGCTTGTAATGCCTCTGAAAGCCCTATGAAGCATGCCCCACTTAGCTTGTAATTGTAAAGGGATCATTGAATTGAGATTTTTTATGCCAGTAATAATCTTTCTGTTTACAGGTTGTGACAGAATCAGTAAATTCAAAACCTAAGTTTCCTAAAAAGGTACGCATTGTTGAAGTTGGTCCTAGGGATGGTTTACAGAATGAACCAGATATAGTACCTACATCTGTGAAAATCGATTTTATCAATCGTCTCTCAAGTACTGGATTTCGAACTATTGAAGCCACAAGCTTTGTGTCCCCAAAATGGGTTCCTCAAATGGCTGATCACACAGAAGTTTTAAAAGGAATTACCAAGTTTCCAGATGTTAGTTATCCTGTTCTTGTTCCAAATGTGAAGGGTTTAGAAGCTGCTGTAAGTGTTATACCTACCAGATATGAATTAGGTTTATTTATTTAAATGTTAAATATTTTATAATAATTTTAAAATAGATTGAAGCTGGAGCAAAAGAAATTGCTGTCTTTGGAGCTGCTTCTGAAACCTTCTCAAAGAAAAATATAAATTGCTCAATGGAAGAAAGTGAAGAAAGATTTAGACGAGTTGCACAGGCTGCATCTTTGCATGGAATACAAGTGAGAGGTTATGTGTCTTGTGTTTGTGGGTGCCCGTATGAAGGACCAGTGAATCCTCAAGTTGTTGCAAAGGTAGTTCTGAAGATAGTTATTAATACAATTGAGTACTGACTAATACAATTGAGTAATTGAATTAAGTTGCAGAGCTTACTGTCAAAGTGAAGTCAGTTTCATTTCACTTTAATTGTAGATAATGAAAATTCATTAAGAAATGTAATTGTAATTTTTTCTTCTATTTGTATCATTCCAAGTCTGAAAAACTGTGCGGATATTTCAATATCTTTCATTTGAATCAATGAACTGATTATTGAATGAAATGTAGCAAATGAACTTATTATGTCAGATCATATTATTTATTTTATTATTCTGAATGTTAAAAAGTTTTTAGTATTTGTTGATATGTTGTGAATATTGTTTGTATTGTATATTTATTTTTTTAAAAAAAAGTATGTGCTGTTTCATGGAAAGGCATTTTATTTTCACAGACAGCTGCATCTTTGTATGAAATTGGATGCTACGAGGTGTCGCTCGGGGATACAATTGGTGTTGGCACTCCAGGCTCAATGCGAACCATGTTGGAAGAGGTTCTGAAATATGTTCCAGCACAAAATCTAGCAGTTCATTGTCATGATACTTATGGTCAGGCTTTGGCAAATATCCTAATAGCTCTTGAGGTTTGTGGAAATTAAGTACTGTATAAAATTTATTATATTACATAATTGTAAATAAGATTACAGAATATATTTGAGAACACTTTTACAAAAATGAACAACAGTACAGTTGTATATAAATAAATATCTGAGTTATTTGTGACTGGTTGAAAATTGAAAACCTATTCAATGAAAGGGTGACATAAAAACAACCCGTCTATTTTTTCAAACAAATACTACTTAATGTGTTAAAGATAGCAGTATTTTAATAAAAAAATAAAAAATCAACTCGCATATTTGTTTAATTATAGAATTTTAATAGTATTAAAAATACTGTGGTAGCAAAATTAGTGTAATGTCTCTGCACTAATTACGTAGAATATCCTTATAACACGAAAACCTTCAATGATTCATCAGCGAATCTGCATATATCTGAAAAAATACACACACTTTACTTTTTATGAACTGAAGTTCCCTTTCGGCACAAGTCATAAAAAAACCTGTGTTCATACCTTCCATCTCAGTTGGCACACAAACCTATTAGAAGACGACTTGAAATGCGGGGAGAACACACATCCACACCGACAAATTCTTCAGAAACGTGTACGTAATATCTCATTAGATTTTATAATAATAATTTAGTTGTTATAGCAACAATTAAATGTGTTAATAGAAGTCTGTTTAATTACAAACCCATGGCTATATTTATATTTCAGTTCAAGCAGCAAGCAAACCCACATTTTGACTTTTTTTTAAAGTGAAGTGATGAGAATTGATATTTTAAATGTATTGTGATAAAGAAGAAATGTTTCTTAATAGCAAAATGCATAGCTGAATATGACTTGACCCATAGTCATATTGTATATATTTATGCTTTGGCCTAAGAAAATTAATCAATGCCAGCAAAATTATTCTTGAGTATTTTTGATTCGAGTGAACTGCGCCACTACAATCTTGGGAATCAAGAGAAATAATGAATCATAAAAGAAACCAAAGGAACCATGCTACCCTAAAACTTTTTTGTGGATAGTTAATTTCTATTAAAATTCGTCAAATAATCTATTCAATTTGTTAAACCAATTTTGAATAATGGGTCTTCGAAGATGAATATTAGTGTTGCGAGTTTTTTCATCAACTTAACATATCATATTATAGTTCATATTGTTGTTCTGCTATTTCTGTAGTTAACTGTTGAATTTATTTTCAGTTGGGTATCAGCGTTGTGGATTCATCAGTTTCTGGTTTGGGAGGCTGTCCATATGCTAAGGGTGCATCAGGAAATGTAGCAACAGAAGATTTGGTGTATATGTTGCATGGAATGGGCATTGAAACTGGAATTAATTTTGATAAATTGTTGGAAACTGGGCAATTTATATGTAATGCCCTGAACCGTCCAAGTGGTTCAAAAGTCAGTCGAGCAATTAGCAAATTATAACCGGACAAAAATAAATAGCATTAGATTAAATAGATGTCTTGGGAAACTATACATATCATATTGTTTGTGAAAATGATGACCAAATACTTCACTAATAAATAGTGCAAAAGTTCTTAAAGTGCATGAAAATCATTGTCTGTTGTGCTACCTCTTGCCTTAAAGTACACGGAAAATATGTTCTATTGAGTCTTCATTGTTTACATTTTGAGGTGTTTATTTTGTATCATTGAAAGGAACTGGCATTGATTGAAATTTGTGAATGGTTTGAGATTAGAAATACTAATAATATTTTTAAAAGTAATATGTTTGAAGATTTGGGATTGACACTGACACAAATCCATTTTACTTGACTCCATACTTGACTTTCTGGAATTTTGTTTTTCACATTTTTTATGGACTTTGAAGGTTGGCAACTCTCACATTCCATTCTGCAAGAATTGTTATTGAAAGTTATTTGAAATGGCTATATGCGAAGCAATATGCAATCTATGCAGTAAACAGTTATTAGTTGAAATGCTGTGAAGATTAGCACATTAATACTCAAATGCAATATTTTAGGAGATTGAATTTTCAGAAGACTTGAGCTTTACATTCTTGTGATTATTGTGAAATAGCAGCACAGATGTTGGTTGCTGTATCACATAATTGTTGAAACAAATGTAATGTTATGAAAATATAAAAATAATTAGGTTAATGTTGCATGTTTAGTGACATTCCTGTTATGTGATAATATTTACTGATGTATATTATGCAATTATTAATTGTGATTTATTTTTATAAATAAAATATTTTGTTGACAAAATTTTAATAACTTAATGTGTCTTTTTCCTTTGAGAATTTTCCAGTTAAGTCTTACTGGTGGTCCAGTTAGTGCATCCTAGCAACATGAAATTTTAGTAAAGACGTTGTGAAGATGTTGAAAATATTAGGAGAGAAGAAATTTCATAAATATATTTAAGTGGAATCCTTAGATAGTATTCAAGTAACTCTTTTGTAAGATAATTTGATTACAATATTATATTTTCATATAAATTTATAAGAACGGAATGATATGTTGTAGAATAGGAGCTTACAAATGTACTAATTTTTTTTATAAAGCCACCTGATAATAAATTGAAAGAATGTACTCTTCAGAGCAACTCTTCTGGGAGTTATGAGATTTAAGTTTTCCCATACCATATTTTGGGAGGTGTAATGCCATAGCTTTTTGTTTTTGAATTTGTTGCGTTGTTATTGTCACAACACATCTCATAAGTCCCTTATCAAACATTGAGAGCTTAGGGAGTAATCTTCTATTAATCACAATCGTTCACAGTCAGTTGTCAAAAGTACAACCATGTAGCATCTCCATATGTGTTTGAAGTGCCTTTATTTAGAAATTGCAAGAGTAGAAATTTTATACATTTGAAAATATTTTTAAGTGGCAGCGATACCACATTCAGTTGATTAATGAGTAATTGGGAATATTCATGAATTTTCAGAGGGACAGGTATAATTTATCTCTTCCATTTTTTGTTTACTTGGACAATTATTAAGAAGAAAAGAATTCAAAAATCTTAATAAATATGAAATTTGTAACTTAACAAATTGGCTTAAAAGGAAATCAAGTAAATAATTACTTTTATTTAACTAATACTGTTGTTCATTATTGAGAGAGCAGGAGGATTTCTAGAATCTCCTACCAACCATAGCATACAAGAATTATTGGTAAGAAAGTTTAGATTGTATACAGCGTAGGTCTGCTGGAAAAAGTGTGATAATAAATATTATAAATTAATTTATCACAAATATGCAAATTGGTCTCGTTTCGGGGTTCTTTACTAGATTTTTCAATTGCAGGTGTCACTAAATTTCCTCTCGTGAAGGTGCAAATTTTATATGAATGTTGAAACTACTTAGTAAATTCAACCATGTTGAGAACTTATGGTCAAATTATTAGCAGACTATCACGTAAATAAAGTTCTGAAGACATTCGTATAGAAGGGCAGGGACCAATGTAGCAAATGGCTATCGTGTAAATCAAAAGACTGGTATTCTTTCTGAAAGCGTTGGCTTCTGCGCCTGGAGTCAGAATCTACTTGGCTGTCCAGGAAGTGCTGTGTTCTAGTCTCAGATGCCAAATGGCATTTAACCCTGAGGAGAGTCACAGCGTGACAACCGAGACATTGGCATCTGCCTAGGGTATGGCATCTCCCAGACAGCCAAGTAAATAGGTATTCTTAATGTTCAGAGATCCAAAAGAAAAATGTATTTATTGTATTATTAATTCTGGAAGTAATGAAGGATTCAGATAAGTAAGAAAAAGTTTGCTTTCAAATTGATTCAACTTTTGTTATGCGTAGGAAAAACTAAAAGGTCATCCATAAATAACATGACGCAAATTTGTGTATTTTGAACATCCCCTCTCTCTGTGAAACAAGTGTTTGAACATCCCCCTCTCCCAAATAAGTACATAATGCTTACAAAAAGACCCCCGCCATTTACAATAAGTAAAAATAAATTATAAAGCAAGAGACATAAGTTGTTTTAATTTTATTTGTGATATATAAAAATTTTGTGGAAGTCAGAATTTGTTGGTGTTGCTAACTTCAGCAAACAATAAGATTAGGGACAATTCTTTAATGACCAAAAGATACATAGGCAAGAAAATTTCTGAACAATGAATGCACATGCAGTCTGGGATGAGTCTAATACACCAGTTTAATTGGATTCTAGATTATACTATAGATTGGTTTTGAATATTTTTTTCATAACCTACGAGATTCAATGAATTGATGAAAAATATTTTCATTTGGTGAAACAGTTTTTACATCATAACTGTTTTATTTATTTATATATTTTTATTTAATTTGTTAATTTTTCATTTTTTTAGAACAAGACCGAATAAAAGGAATTAAATCAACAAAATGTTTGAAATAAATATGAGTATTATACAACACTAAACCAGAACCTCCCTACCTCAATGTATCACAGTGGAACAGTGCCTCAGTCTGCCTCCCCTTCCTCTTTAGAGTTACTTATTACAAGAAACATTGTAGACACATAAATAAATATTTAACTTTAAAACAAATAAAGTTGCATTATTTTACCACATTGAAATACATTTTTGTAGGGTTACATTTATTTTAGGATAGTGCTTAATTTACAGAATTGTTATCAGTTTCTTTGATAATCCTCGGATGTAATGATAAGTTCATCTACTTTGTACCTGTGTCTGATGTACTGAATGACAGAAGACTCTGAACCAGAGGAAACTTCATAAATTTCAGTTATCCAAAATTTGATTTAACAACAAAAACATCAAAATTTCGTAACACATATGGGTTAAAAACATTCAATTTCAATCTTTGAAGAAAAATCACTGAAATTATTTGTTACTTGAATACTTTTTGATAATTTCTCCAAGTTTTTCAATTTCATAAATAGCATTAATAGTGAAAATGTCAATGGGCATAATGACATTCTCATGAAGCAATCTTGTCATCCTAATCATATCTTGCAGAAGAATAGCCGAGTGATGGTTTTTGTGCATTGTTTATTATACAATCTTTGAATAAGACACTGTACTAAATTTCTGTGCATATTCTTGTGTTGTAATGTTAATGTGAGACTTACATTTGATGCTGCAATTTACTTTATAATTACAGGATCTTGAAATTTAATTAAACATTATATTCAGCTTTTTCAAAACAGTCGAGAAGTAAAATATCCTGATTAATGGATAACAGATATTTTCTTTGCTCATTTTCTCTCTTATAATATTGTGTGGTAATTTCATTAGTTTTTGTTTTGATTTATTGTTTGGGTTTTTCATTCTTCCATATTCTTAAAGATCATTAAAAATTGTTGATTTCATGTAAATAATTTGCAAAATAATAAGATTTGTCTCCAGTGTCTGTTCTTTTTATTGGTGTTGTTTGTTACAAAATTTATATTTCGAATTTCCTATGTGTGCAGAAATTGGAAGAAGCTTGTGCTGCCTCTGGCTTTTTGAGAGGTGTCTGCGATGAATATGTTTTTTTTAGATACCCAGGAACTCAGGAAAAACCCAGAAACATTCATGTTATTAACTTCTACTACAGGAACTCAGGGAAAATTCAAAAACATTTACATTCCTAAAATTCATATATACAAGCAATATGAGCAGCAAAATAAATATTTTATCAAAAACAGCCTACACAAATTCTGCACTAACACAGTATTGTGTTCAGTACATACCACAGTTCTTAACAAACCAAGAATATAAAAAAAATTCTGTTCCACAACACCCAACAAGATGAGTTATTTTATTTGTTCTTTATCACCGAGCATTCTACTTCTTGGAAAACTATTCCATTAAATTTTTATTAATTTAAGAAAGTGATCATTCTTCAAGTACAGTCATGTGATAAAGTTTGGATCATGGATTCTGGAGAGCTTGCTTTACAATATGGAGAATAGGAGTTTTAGCAAAATGATCTTCAATTTCGAAAACGCCCGCGAAATCATAAATGCCGCCATCTGTGAACGTAATGTAGAAGTAAAAAACTTGGCGTTTCTCCCGATGAGACAAACATTGCTAGGGCCGCAGCTTCCAATTTAGACTCAGTCGGGCAGCGGAACGTAGAAAGCCTGTTTAGGACGAAATTAGACGCGAATAAATAAAATTGCTAAATTGTAAGACCCGACAAGACATAAGCAGGCATATCACATATAAACGGAGTGTTTGTTTTTACTTTTTGTATTTATGTTACTAAAATGAATTTACTGTGATAGCCTCAGTGGTAACGAATTTAGTGTGCATTTTATGTTGGTTTTTGTGCGTCGTTAATTATATAATTGTCTTCGAATATTAGTCGCTATACATTGTTTCTCGTTTACAAATTTTCTGCGTTTGTACTTGTGTTGTAACGTTCGTGTAAGACTTTTTGCGTACAGCTTGGTGAAAAATAGCAACCTCTATAATTGCAGATTTTTTAAAATTGAAAAATAGTGCCACTTCAGATCAACATACATAAAAGTAAGTATACATGTGTTGTTCGTTGTGTTGACATCCCATAACTTCCCACAGTGTGGCAAAGAAATTCTGTTGAGTTCCGAAGTTGTAAAAATTTACTTTTGCAGCAGCTAGAATGCTCTTATCAATAAACATCAGCTGGTCACTTCGGACGTCTGTGATTTGCTAAAACCCACTCCTCAAGCATTCCATTGCCTTACTAAATCTACTGTTTTGTGATCGTTGGTGCCTGTATTAATATTGCTATCAATGATCCGTCTCCTCTCGTACAATCTTCACTGTCTGTGAAATGTATCAAGATGTAAAACAATAATACAAAAGAGACAGCCTTTCGAACATTAACTTCCTCGATTTGTTTCCTTTGCGATGGAAATAAAAAACAGTGCTTTAAGGCCCCATTTATTCTTAACTTGTAAAAATGTTTTTCATTAGTAGTCCTTCATTGGATCTTCATGCCCTAGAGGTGTACATGTTTAGCTAGAGAACACTTAGGAGAGAAAGAATTCTCATCGAAGTGTGAGAAAATAGTAGGTGAAGCAAATCGGAATAAAATTTACATTTTATCACATGATGTCTAGTTCAGAACTAGAAATCGAGGAAAAATTACTCTCTTGTGAAATACGCGTATGGAAGGAAGCCAGGTCATTTTTATCCCTCGTCTTTGGAAGAAAAATTAACTAATTTGAATATCATCTTCAAATTCGAAATGGTGGGAATGTTAGGTATTCTCCTGACTAATTCGAATAATTGATGTATACAAGTCTGATGAGTTTAGACAAAGAGAAAGTAACGCATTTTTTAACAAGATTCTGTTTACATC